TGAAAACTTTTCTGCTTACGCTGCAAGATCCAGTGGCAAAGAGAGTACTTGCCTCTGGTATGCTGCCTTTACTTTTTTTCACGACTTTCTCTTGCTCTGACGCTCTAATATTTTAGAGATATTTTCTCTGCTTTATAGATTTCCGGGAAGGCAAATTGTTACATCATTACAAAACCACGCAAGTTGTATTAGGTTCCTATTGCTGTAACAAATTACCATAAACTTAGTGGCTTGAAATCACACAAATTTCTTAATAATCTTACAATTCTAGAGGTCAGAAGTCCAAAATAGGTCTTAAAAATCAAGGTGTCATTGGGGCTACTATCCTTCTAGAGGCTCTAGGGAGAATCTATTTCCTTGCCTTTTTTAGCTTCTAGAGCCTCCCGCATTCCTTGGCTAATGGCACCTTCTTCCATCTTCAAAGCCAGCGACAGCAAGCTGAATCTTTCTCCTCTACCATCTCCTCATGCTTCTCAATCTTCTGCCTCCCTCTTCCAATTGAAGGACCTTGGTGATTATATTGGGCCCACCTGGATAATGAAGACGCTTCCCTATTTGAAGGCAAATTGATTAGTAATCTTAATCCCACTTGCAAATATAATTCCCCTTTGCCCTGTAACAAAACATATTCCTAGATTCCAAGGATTAGAAGGTGGAAGGAGAGGGGGAGGCATTATTCTGCCTACCACATGGGTTATGATCTATTTTTATTTATTTATTTTTATTTTTATTTTTTTGATTCATTCAAATATTTATTGAGCAGCCAGGGAGATACAAAGCTGATTAAAACATGATCAAAGAGGTGAGGCAAATGCACAAGTTATAGAAGGCAAAGTATAAGGTTCACTGAACCACAGCAATCAAAAGAAAGTGCTTTAGGAGATGGAGTGAGATTGCTTCCAGCCTGGAAGGGGGCATGGGTGGGTGGCAAACCAGGAAAGGGGATTGAGATTAAAATAGAAGACTTCAGTCTGGATTGTTGATGATACGCAGTATGGACTATATTTGTCTCTTCTTTTCCTCTCTCCATCTTTGGGCTTAATTTACCAGTAGTGCCCAGGATTGTTCAATGCACTTCTATACTTGCTTGCATTTTTGCTTTAATGTCTTCTGCAGAACTAGGTCCTTTTGGTGTTTAAGGAGTTTTTTCCTGTTTTTTGAAGGATTCTTGACCTTTTAATCTTGGCGTTGATGGTTTGGAGTCTTTTCCATTCTGGTTTGACTTTTGTGCATTTTTGGCTGGAGTATCTCGTATAGATTTCTTTACTGGAGCTTTTTCTTCAGCTTCCTCCTCATCAAAATCATCATCATCATCATCTTTGCCATCATCATCTTCATTGGCGGCAAGTTTTACTTTTTTCTGTGGAAGCTTGCTACCACTTCCAGGGCCAGAACGCTTTCCAGATATACTCAGGAGTTTCACATCCTCCTCCACTCCATCTTCCGATTCTGCATCTTCCTCCACAGCTGCTAAGTGCTGTCCACTAATACGAACAGGCCCTGAACCACATAAGACCACAGGTGGTGTTATTTCAAAGCCCCCAAGGGAAACCACTGGCTGCACAGACATTTTCAAAGTTGCCAGTGTTACTTTAATGGGACTGCCTTCGTAATTCATTGCCTCTGCTTCAACAACATGCAATTCATCCTTTGCATCAGCCCCTAAACTGACTGTTCTTAATGATAACTGGTGCTCATTTTCATCATTATCCACCTTAAAGTGATCTTTGTCAGCCTTTAGTTCACAACCGAAAAGATAGTTCTGGGGCTTCAGGGGGCTCATGTCCACGTCCACCGAATCTTCCATGGGGTGGTGGCACACACTTAGGTGGGAGAGAAGGCAGACAGAGAAAAACGACCACTGTTCCACAGAACAGCTGCGCAGGATGGAATCACACCAGGGACTACAATCTATTTTTAAATCAATAAGTATCAGACACACAGTATGCCAGAAACTTCACAAAGTCTTTGGCCTCTTAGCCCTCTGAGGTTTGGCTTTGAAATGTGGGTGGTAGGAGAGGGTGAGAGAGGACCTCTTTCATTTAGGGCTAAACAGTGGTGTGCTGATAAACTTAACAACCAGCTCTAGCCAGGAGGAGGAGGGGAGGCTGATTTGTCGCTTCTACCAATTTCCATGGCGAAAATACTCCCACCATGGTTGACTGCAAGCTACCAACATGAAGTCAACTAGTTCACAAAAATCCTGAAACTTTAAGAATCCACTCTTATGAGGCTGTAAGAAGAGGCTCCAGTACACCCCTGGAAGAATATATAGCATCAACATACTCCGGGATAGGCAACGCAAGTTTGACTGAAGCATCCCAGCGCTCGCTCCAAATTTTCCCTACACCCACAGGATTAACTCTTCCAGGACACAGTGACACGGCCATATGCTAAAGAGGTAGCTGCCTTTCACACTCCGTGCTTATTAAGGATCAAAGAACACTCACATATGCTGGGGAGGAATACAGTTTACTCTCCCCTCACTCAGTGTTACACACACACAGAGGCGGTGACCAATCAGAATGAGATTAAGTGTTCCCTGGTGACCCCTTGCAGGAGAGGGAAAACTGGAGGGCAAGGGGTTAAGACCAGAGGCCAAGCTAGAGGCTCCTGGGTGGCAATAGGCTGCTTGGATTCTACTTGGCTCACGGTTCCTGGACAGCAGCCATTTGCCTGGGGAGGAGGGCAGTATTTTGCAAGCTGGTGTCCCTGAGTGTGCTTGCTGTGCATTTTAAAGAGTAAGTGCTCCATAAGCACAGCCATTATTGCTTCCCTTGGCCATTTTCACACTGGCAACGTGAAGTATGCCATTTCTAGATGGCTAATGTCCATTTTTCTTTTATCTGACACAAGCTACTAAATAGCCTTACATTTAGTATGAAAAGTCACAGATTTATATACAACAGGAACAGCTAGGTCATGGTGGCAGTGCAGGCCAATTAGCAAGAGATACAAAGCCTGTGGAACAACCAAGGTGGGCTGCTCCTTCTCTCGAAGGTAATTTAGATTAATGCTCCCCAAACTTTTATGTGCACAAGAAACACCTGGGGAGCTTGTTAAAATACAGATTCTGGTTCAGAAGGTCTAAGGTGGGGCTCAAGATTCTGCATTTCTAAAAAGTGAACCAGTGCTGTTGGTTGAAGAATCACACTTTGAATGGGAATAATCTACATATCAACTCTCTCCCTCCATCTCTCACTTTCAGGCAAATTATACCAATAGTCATTACAGTTATCACATTAGAAAAGCCAACTCAATTAAGATTTCAGTAGTTAATGATTGCTATACGTGTAGTGTTATAACTTGGAAAGGGGAAAATGCTTTTACTCAAAGATGAAGAAAACCGTTTCAGCCACTAAACATTTCTGAATAGTATATATTATTTGACCCATGAAGAAATTAGCTATAAATGACCCACAAGCCAGCCAATTTATGGGTATTAAATGACAACTCATAAATGACTTTTAGGATAAGAGGTTGCAATGCAATAATTCTTTAGGATCTGTAAGCTTCTTAATTCAGTTACTGGTGATGATTTGATGATTTTCTTAGTTGCACCTGAAATGCAGACAGACTACATGCTATGTAAAGGGAACACTTCCTCTATAATCATAAAACTAAAGTCTTTCAAGGAGAAAATGGGGGGAGGGGGAGTTAGATGAAACATAGAAGAGTGGGAAATAAGGAAGTAAAAAGAGAGAAACAAAGCTTTAAAAAAGGTTATTGTCATAAAAAACTTCTCAATAAAGTTATAATAGCTGATCAGTTGGAAACGGATTGCTGAATCAAATTTTGTAAACAAAGTTCCCATACTCTTTTTTTAATACCTCCAGCATTTCACTGCAGTTCCCCATGTATAAGTCCACTCTTACCTCCACCCCCAGAGCCTCTCTCTCTACAGATGCAGCACCTCTACATCTTCAGACGCTCCTGACCTTGAGAGAAGAGGGGGTGGGGCTTGCAGACTCATTTTATAAGAATAGTCCAGAGAGGGCTGGGGGTCTGCCCAAGCTCATACAGCACAACAGGACACCTTCCAAGAAAGACTTAGTCTGTTCCGCAGCCAGTAGAGAGCTCTTCGGGGGAAGGAAAGACTCATAGTCTCATGTGTTTCATAAGGCATCAGCTTTTGACTTCATTAACTCTAACTGGTAAAAAGATCTATTGTTTGGTAACTAGGTTTAAATTTTGACCGATACTCAATCTGTAAAAGAAAAGGAAGGAAGGAGAGAGAGATACAGACAGATAGCAGGAATAGGAATGTGTTTCCATGACTTATACCTGCAGTAGTTGTCATACTTGGTAGTTAGTACCATGAGTCAACCCCTTGCCCCCAAACCTCCAACACTTAAAATCTATTACGGCTTAGGACTTTGTGGGGAATGGGAGGAGGAGAGGGATGGGGGTAGAACAATACTACATTCTTCCTTCTTCTCTAGCAGATGATCACGTTCAAGAGATTTTTTCCCCAAGCCCCAGAAAGAGTATCAAAACTAAAAACATCACTTTGAGGTTTAAAATAGATCACATCACTAATACTGAAATGCAAAGACATGCTTTTTCTTTTATCAGTAAGAGAACTATGTTCATCTATTTCACACCCTGGGAAATTCAATATTTGGATACAAATATGGCGGTGTACCCCTGATTGCCATTGTTACTAATGGCTTTGCCTTCTGGCCAAAAATACAGCGACTATTTTGATCACTCGCCTGGGAGGAGAGACAGTGTGGTGACTAAGAACTCTAGCTCTGAGGCCAGTCAGCCTGGATTCGAATCCTACTTCTTCTATTTACTGCTGTGAGCCTTTGGACAAGTTATCTACCTTCTCTGTGTCAGTTTCCTCATTTGCAAACTGGGTAATAAGAATAAGATATGCTTAATAGAGTTCTTGTGAAGATTCAATGAGTTAATGTATGGACACTCTCTAGAAGAGAACTTGGCACATAGTAAGCCCTGAGTAGAATGTTAATGAATCATCCTCTCCACCGTCTTACCTTCTCTCTCTGAATTGCCTTCATTTTTTGGATTTCAGCTTCTTCAGCTTCCTTCTTGATTCTTATAGATTCTTCTCTTTTTAGCTAAATTGTATTGAGATTACAGAGGATAAAAACCAGTTACTATTTTTCAGTCCGAACCTCTGTAACACAAAATTATGATGAAAGGCAAATTACAGTATTGTTTGTGCTATACCTCACCATGATTATAGGTTGGTACTGCAAGTTACTTAGATCACAGAGAATGGTCAGGCTCCATCTCCTGCCTAGGAAATTTCTCTCTTTGTGTTTCTTCTTGGTCTCTGTCTCTGCCTTGCCTCTCCACCCCCACCCCCCAGCACCAGGTTGGGGAGGAAAAGCGGCAGATAATTTTTCCTGATTATAAAATTCATAATGTTCATTGTAAAAAAAATCACTAGCATCTTAAATCTTTTTTTGTACTATTTTCACGACTGGCATGGGGTAAACAAATCCGTGTTCTTGGAACCAAAACATTCAAAACATAGTAGAGATTAACTTAAACTAGGGGAAAAAAATCCTTTAATCAAGGACCTTGATGACCAATATATGCCTTGGATAAGAATTCTAGATATTTATCTCTTTACTTCTTACTTTCTGATTTCTTTGATTTTGAGTTTCCTTTTCCCACTGGTTTAAAGGTTTCTTGGTTTTGGTAAAGTCGCTGTTAATTCACAGTTACTTGAAAGTCCTGGTACTCAAATTCCTTGCCAAAATTAAACTAAAAGAAATGGATTCTGACCTTTTGCTGATATTTAGATTGTATCAGTTGGAGTTGTTGTTTCTGTCTGACTTCAGCCTCTGATTGGCTTCCACCTAAGGGAAAAAAGGTCATGAAGGTGAAACATGAATATTAAGCTGAAATGTCAGCCATCAAAGACTAATTAATACATGATAAGTCTACACCACGAGTTTCTTTAACATTTTCATACCCCTGGAAATAAAGACATAACCAGTTTTCTTAATAAGACATTAAAGAATGGTAATTGCTCTAAAGAGAAACAGAGCTGATGGAAAGATAAGGCCATATTCCTAAAAGAAGAGGACAACCTACTAAGGTTTTTCAGTAGTGTAAGTATTCGAGTTTTGACTTAGATTAAAATCATACCTGAAGACCCATGCTAAATAATAAGAAATAATGCCTGACTTGGAAATTCTAGAATATTCCTCCTGCTTGAGTATGACCATTCCTTAACCTAAAAAGATGGCAAGCAATGACAAGCAATGTCATTGCTTTCCTTCTTCTTACTCTATTGCCCCACATTCAGGCAACAAAGCTCAGGAAACCCTCAGAGGTCTTGCCACTAGACAAGTATGTAGTTTTTATAACCCGGTTTTTAAAAGTACAATGGGAATATTCCAGCTGGTAATTGATTGTCAATCCATTCTATTTATTGTTCTTTCTTTGGATATGCAAGAGAAAAATATGGATGTTAGATTATTTGCCTGCTTTCTCTTAAACCTAAAATAATTTGAGGCCAGAAATCCTTGCAAGTTTGACAATCACCTAAAATTGCTGTTTAGGGATTTCTCAGTGTTTATGCAAGAGTGGTATATGTATTATAAAGATTCCTTTGAAATAATTCTCTGGTGCTTTGATCACTAAAAGTGTCAGTTCTCTGAAAGACTCGCTGTCACAGAAGATGCATTAAAACAATTTGCATTCACTGTAGTTTTTATAATTGAACTGATAAAAATACCATAGAGACTTTTCTTCTAAGTCCCAAAAGATATGTAAGCCCTGTTGGACTTTGGCCCTTCGGTCTCTGTTATGGGGGATGGGAAAATGGGAAAGAAACAGTGGGGGCTACTGAAGCTTTTATCTAATGTTACAGCCACTTGCAATGTCTCCTAGAACCATTCTAATATTTTAAGGGATAGAGGGATGGGGGAGGAGTTGAGAATTAGGAGAAACGGAGAAAGTCAGAAATCTAAGCATTTGCAGGTTTTGTTCAAAACTCATCTCAAAGTTTACTACATTCTAGAATTTGCTTTTCTACCCCCACCCCCCAGTCTCTTCCCACACACATATCCATGACCTTTCCTAGATATGTAATATAACAGAAAGTTGCAATGAGACTCCTGCTCATTTTTTGGCTTAGGCCGCAAGACAAGAGATGCCAACTGCTCCAAATTCCAAAGCGAGATGCCTGGCTCCCTAAGTAGGAGCTGCAAGGAGTAACTGAAAACCAATTTGGGGAACCTTAAGGAGCAACTACCTTCAGCCTGTAAGAGGTTGGATAGATCAAAGGAAGGTAGAAATGAGAGGAAAGATGTCTTTGTGTATTCCATCTCTTCTGTGTGTGTGTTTGGGGAAGAAAGATCTTTCACGTCAAGAAGAGCAAGAGATGTTTAATGAAAATCACTATGAGAGCTCAGTCTGTGTCCCCAAGAGACCAAGGGACTTAGTGGACTAAGACTTTCCTAGAAAAGTCAGAGCTTAAAGGCACATGGTGACTGTCAGTTGGCTACTCAGAAGGGTCATCCAGAAGAGGTGGCTGCACGGCAAATGGCCTGCATTCCCAGAGTTCATGGGAAGAAAGGATGCACAAGTCTTTTGTGTACTTCCAGTCTGGGTTGTCATGAAAAAGAATGCCAGTCTAAAGCCATCTTGAAAGGACTTGCCGATGCGGGCCACCGAGAGGAACAGCGAAGCCCTAAAGAGAGTCTACCTACCAAGAGCCGACAGCAAAGCCAAGCCCTACCAGCAGGAAAGTGTATCATCTCTATCAGGGAAATCCAAGTGAAAGACGGATGGCAGGCAAGGAGGGACTCTGAAGAACTCAATGAACCCCAGAGGGGAGGATGCACAGGAAGCATACAACAAGACTTGAAGAAACCGGGGTCGGTCTGCACCATAGACCCCTACCTGTCTTACGTCCTCTGGGAACAGAGGAGTCAACAGAGAATAATTCAACTATGCCCATTTCCTTTGCTAGCTTGCTACCCAAAATAGGCCCGGGCTGGAGGAGCAAAGCAGCTTTCATCTCCATTAGTAGGAGAGTTTTGACTAGTACCTAGGACTGAACTTTAATTACTGAAATGACACTGTTTTATGCCTGGAATTATGGACAACTTTATTATTTCAGAAAGACCAAAAACATCTAATTTCATCCAGAGCCGGTTTGAGGGGGCCAGTTTAGGAAGGACAAAGCTGTTTCCTGGCTGTACTCCTGAAATGTGGCTTATTCAGCATAAAGGTGACACTTGAGATTAACTCCTTTCATGAAATACAGTGGGATGATGGTGATAATACTATTACATTCTCTCATTAAATGATTTCCAAATTAGGTTATTTTCACCTACATCCTAGAAAAAATACTTCTTTAAAACTATTGTGACAGTAAGTGACCCCTGACTCTAACACATTTGTATTAACTAAATCTGTGGGAACCGTGTATCCAGCCCTTTATGTTCTCAACGGCTGCTGAAAGAGAAAAGAGAAGAATAGCCATGAATGACTCCCTTTAGGTGGTATCCCCGTTAAATGATTCAAATACAGGGCAAAGGCAGCCCAGACAATTCATCACACTGGAAGCGTGAGCTCCAGAGGCCCAGAGGTCTCTATCTGTAGACTGAAAACACAGGTGATCTTTCTCTTTCAACCCACCTCTGGGTCCCCAGCTCACTCTCATCTTAGTTTTGGAATTGACTCTCCATTCATTGTTTTCCCATTAGCATTGAGCTGCCATGATTAATATGCTTGTGATAGCGTGCACTCCTATCCTGACTAGTGCTATGACAGGGCATATGCAGCACCCCAGGAAAGCTTTCTTCAGAGTTGATCATCTAAGAGGCTCTAAATTATTTGGCAATTAAGCTATCACTTTATTCCCACGTAACTGTGGCATCATACATTTGCTACTTTCAGAAAATCAGAAACAATAACATAGCTGCATGCTTAATTGTTTTGACTTTAAACGCATTCCATTCCAAGCAGCACAGCGACCCAATAACCTATTATGTACATTCAAAGACAGACGTGCAAGGTGCTCACAGGATCATGGGTGGCCCCGTCCTCCCCCGTTCAGACAGCTGGTTTGCTGGCTTACCTAGCCGCCTTGGCACCAGGTTAACTGGCTTAGCTCTATGTTGCTCTTTCCACTTCTCCAGATCCTCCAGCTCTTTCTCAGCAACTAAGCCAGGTAAAAAATATCAAACCATCAATGATTAGAATGTGCAAAGGAAACTGGTCCCTTGAAAACATAAGTAACCACTATCAGAGGGCAACTAACTACATGCAAGCATGTGTGGACAAGGTAACCTAGGAAGGGAAGACACCATTAAGTCCTCACCCCCTGCAGTCACCCTGGGTGCACCCCTGAGTCACTTTCTCTCCAAGAATCTGCACATAAGTTCCAAATCTAAAAAACAACCTGAACTACTAAAATAAAGAAGTTTCAGGGCCGGCTCTGTGGCCGAGTGGTTAAGTTTGCCTGCTCTGCTGCGGCGGCCCAGGGTTCGGATCCTGGGCGCAGACATGACACTGCTCGTCAGGCCACGTTGAGGCACATCCCACACCCACAACTAGAAGGACGTGCAACTAAGATATACAACTGTGTACGGGGGGGGGGGGGGGGGGGTGGGGTTGGGGAGATAAAAGCAGAAAAAAAAAAGATTGGCAACAGTTGTTAGCCTAGGTGCCAATCTTTGGGGGAAAAAAAAAAGGAAGATTGGCAACAGTTGTTAGCCCAGGTGCCAATCTTTAAGAAAAAAAAAAGTTTCATTTTACCTCCCATTCTGGCATTCTTAAAACCCTATATCAAATTAATTTTAAAAGTTTCCTGTAAAGAATGTGTGCAAACCTAGAATATTCATATGTCAATAAGAACTTTTCATACCTAGGTAAACATATATCCCCAGAGAATTCTGATGCTCATATTCACTTTATTTTAAATGTCTCCCAAGCTTACTGCAACCACGAGGAGTGAGGGCTCTGTGCCAAGGGAGGGGCAGCCCCCACTATGGTTCCTGGCACTTGGGACCACTAGGCAGAGCCAGGTCCCTGTGGAGCCGTGCTCATTCCCCAAATATGCACACTGAGTGACAGCAGGGGGCGCCAGAGAGACACCAGGTCTGTTCTGATGGCGCATGCCCTCATCTCCCCATTACAGCTGATTGTTCAAAAGGTCCATTTACGATATTTTTTAATTATTAGAGGAAAAAAACCTGCTGAAACATCTCAAAACTCCAAACCACACTGAGGCCTAAATTCCTGTTAAGTATTTAAATCAAAGCTTGTAAGATGCCAGAACCCTTGGGATTCTGTTGGTCAACTGCCAGCAATGCTCATAGTTACTATGTCTACATAGCAGCTATTGTCATATTCTGCGTTGACCCAGTTGTACCACTGAGGGGGCTACCTGTGGGGTGGAGACACCTTACAGAGTTGCTTTCCTGCTTTATGTCCATCATTAGTTACAAAATTAAATTTCCTACCAATGATCTAATAAAGGAGAGCATAGAATCTCAGTGCCAGCCCCACAACTTGACATGAACAAGTTTCATAACTTCTTTGTGAACTACATGAACTTCAGTTCTTCTTCCAACTCTAAAGTATAATGTTGTAACTTTAAGGAGCAGCATTTATTTTACTGTACAACTTCAATCAAACATATTATATACCCACTAGGTACAAGGAGCACAAAAATGGGTCAGATGTGGTCCCTGCCCTCAAAGAGGTTATAATCTAGGGAAGGAAACTGAAGGACACAAATAAAAACAGCTGAGAGTAGACTCTGATAGTTACAAAATAATGGGAACACAGAGGCGAAGGAAAATTCTGTTAAGAAGGGAGATGACAGATCAAGAAAGGGACAAATTCTTTCATGATCTATTTCATATATAACTTGTCTGTTTCAAAAGTATTCATAGTCTTGTAAAAATATCTGCAGGCAACCTAACTTTATAGGAACCAGATAGGTCTGTTGGCAATAGATGTGAAATTGTTTAAGCCCAACAGACATCTGAGACTTACAATCATGCTACGAGTTCTGCTATTAACACAAAGAAACAAATTTAGAAGCATTAACAATAGAATAATTTTAAAAGGTATAATTAAAACTGCTAACGTGAAAAAAGAAGAAAACTTGATGAGACCTAGTGAGCCTATACAAATCAGAAAATAAAAATACATCAGACCAAAGCAGACTAACTGTGCTCTATTAGCAAATGAGAAGCATTCTGAATGTTAAATGAGTAAGTATACGTACTCCTTCGTATCTGACTTCTTCGGTTTTCATTTGGTGCTATCAAGGTGTATGCACCTCTGCTAGAATGAAGAGAAAAAAAATTGCTTATTATTATGAGACACAACTAATGCCTATAAACCACCAGACATTATTCCTACTAATATACCGTGTTTATGATCATCACCATGAAATAGGTACTATGGAAGACAATCTTCTTAAGACCCAGGTCTGATCTCCAGGAGCTTACAATCTAATTGTCAAAGTAAAACAAATGCACACAGCCAAATATGGAAATAGCAACTGGTGAAGAGTGACAAGTGACAGTTTCACAGGTGGCTCTTGGAGACTGACTTTGTAGGGATTCATTGTTCCTCTAGGTGGAGCTTGTGGGCAAGTCCCTTTAACAGGGCTTCAGATTGGCACTCTCGTCCATTGGGAGTACAGTAAACATTCATGCATTCTTTGTTCCCACAAACTGGGAATCCAGGCCATTTGCAATGCATCCTTCTCCTCTTGACCCGTCTGAGTAGCCAACTGGCCACAGTCTTGTGCTTTTGGGCTTTGACTTTTCCAGGCATGGATCCACTGGGTCCCCCATTCTCCTGGGGACACAGGTAGAACATAATCAGAAGCTCAGAGAAGCAAGGAGTCATCTCAGTTCACGGGGGATCAGGAAAAACTTCATTTAAGCAAAAATATTTGACACAGATACCAGGAAGCTGTCAAAATATTGCGAGCTTTTGAGGGCAGAAACTGTGCTTGATTGATCTATATACACACACCCCTGGCACAGCGCCTGGCACAAAGTAGCTGTTTGGCGAATATGGGGTAAACTGAAATGAAATGATGCCACAGACCCAGTCTGTGAGTCTGTGCTGTGTAGGGGAAGCGGGGCGGGGGTGCTCTTCTTTAAGATGATTCATGTGGTCCTACAAGAGTGTGAATACTTCATAGAGCAAAAGTACAGCACAGCAACAGACCACAGTATACATGTTGGTATAGTTTTAGGGGAAATCCTATGGATAAACACAATCAGCTTATAAATGTAGGTTTTTTAAAAAAAACCCCAGATACTCAGAAGTTTCTCCCTTCAACACGGATTGTACAATTTCAAAGGACAAATTAGCAAAGATTGAACAGTAGAGGCCAAAAGTGCTGATTAACAGAAGTCATTTCTTCTTTATCTCGTTATATTCATAGCAGCGAGCCTTCGGCCAGCTTCAACTGGGCTTTAATTTTAGACTTGTAAATGGGAGGTGTGCAACCACCTTTGCATGCAAATTGGACTGCTCGATGCCCAATTACCTAATGTACATCAGCAAACGCTGCTTGTGTAGCCTAGCATGCATACAACACTATGAATACACAATTAGGAGGCTGCCGCCAAAAATTAATCCCCTGTCCATTGCATATGCTTTGTTCACTCTAAGAAGGATTTCTCATTCCTCAATTGCCAGCACTTTATAGGAGCTTGAGAGCTGCAATTTCTGTAGGTAGCACCTGCAAACTTAAATATGAAATAGTGAGCCATTCTGCAGAGCCTTAAAGACGAAACACTAAGATACTGGATTTAAATGCGAACCGTGAAACGACTATACAATTTTCAATGTCCACTAACATTGTGATATGGAGCTTCTTACCATACCAGGGATTTGACTATACTACAGATCAGTAGTTCTCAAACGTTAGCATGCATCAGAAGCACCTGGAGGTTTGTTAAAGTGCAGAGTTTCTGATTCAGTAAGTCTGGGGTGGAGCTTGATAACTTGCATTTTTAACAAGTTCCCAGGTGATGCTGACGTTCTGGATCTGGGACCACACTTTGAGAACCACAGCTGTAGATCAATCAAGCTGTCTTAGAACATTTGGACTAAAAGGGCATTTACGGATTAATCTTTGATAAAGACACAGAGGTTCAATCACATGCCAAAGATCATGTGGTTAATTAAGCCACAATGCTGAGACTCTAACCCAGGACTTTTGACTTAGACCAGTTGGATGTCTGCAGGTAATTTTTCAGCTCAGTGTAGAAAGCATAACATGACTGTCCTTAACTTCAACCTCTTCATAGACTTCCAAAAAAATAAATAACCTACTTAAGTGAGCACTTACTATGGACTTGTTGTGTTAGGGGCTTATGAAGAGTGAGAGGAGACACCAAAAAATAGACACCAACCACTTTAAAGGAGCTTGTACTGCAGTTAGGAACAATTCATGAGAGTACACCACACGGATATCCGAACAAGTGTCAAAGTGGGATGATGTAAGTAGTCAGACATCCAAGGTTGGGGAGAGTCACAGAGATCCCAGAGGGGAAGAAAACTTCAGAGAAGAAGAACAGCAATGTGAGGCTTAAGGGATAGGATCTGAAATGGCAAACAGGGCTTCTTCGCTAGGACTTTGCTAAGAGCAGCTTCACAGAGAATTTTCCAAGCTCGATAGGTCTCTCTCATGAAAATTTTGGAAAAGGTTTGGAAAGAAAAACAAGTTGTGAAAAGAGTTTATTCTACAGTGTCTAATCTGATTAAATTTAAGTCTGACAACATCATACTAAAATCTTCAGTCTTAGGAATAGGACTGTGTTAGATCTATGATCAACATGTGTAGCCTACAGGTAGCTAGACACAGGACAGGACCATGAAAAGAGGGAAATAACTATCTAGACTTGAAATCAGAGGCTTTTAATTGAAAGCATTTAAACATAACCCCAGGCTCAAGGACAGCCGTCCCAGTAATAAATGTTTTATGTCAGAGAATTCCTTAGCAACTTTTCAGCCAATATTTTATTGGCTGAAAATGCCAAGTGGAGAAAGCATTGCCAAGTAATTGAGCTTCTAGTCCTCTTTCTTGCTACAGGAAAAGGAGCTTAAGTCTAAGGATCTGCTTTTTATTTTTTACTATCATGTGGCAGAGCATAATGCCTTGGTAGATACAAATATTTATCCCTTCTCTCTTAGCTTTTCCTTGACATGAGTAAAAAATATAACTTATTCATGTTTTCAGCCAATTAGTTTCCACCCACAGCAAGGGCCTCTGCTGTTTTAACCTCCAAGTCTGCCCTTTCAACAGTCTGCCTCTCAAAGCTGCTGATCTAGACAAGCCCAACCTACCTTTATTTAGTATTCCGGTCATTTCCTGATTAAGCAACATTCAAGCTACTGAAATAAATGTATATCTTTGAAAATGAGTTTCCTTAATTACCTCATTGAAATTTAATGAAATATCTCAAGTTGTAAGATTGTTTTCACTTTCCAACAGCACACATCAGTGTGGGAGACTAAGGGAGAACATAAGTCAGAATAGCACAAGACAAAGAGAAAAATATTTTTCTGCACCACAAAAAAAAAAAAAATAAAGGAAATGGTTTCCTTGTGAGGTCTCTCCTGAGCTACGCAACTGCTTCTCTTGTGTACATTCTTGCACAATTTTTATAAGGTCTCATCAATGAGCACTCTGAAAAAATGTTAGATTGGAGTTATGAAAAATATCTTGGCTAGATAAGAGTATTACACAAATATATCCCCTGGTGTGTACAAACTGCAGCAGATGTAATTTAAATTTCTAATTAGGAACAACACTGGTTTGACTGAAAAAGAAACATAGTCAAGAGCAAAAATTCAGAAAGAGGTAGAAGAGTAAATTCCAAACACTTCAAGCTGAATAGTAGACACGTAAAGTCTACTGTCCTACAAAGAATTGGTTTGAGGTTTTCATAGTTGAAAGAAATCTTATCCTTGGGTAAAATTGAAAAAACGAAGGATTTTCGGTTAATCAAAGGCACTGGATAGAGATTTATTTTCTAGATATGGCTTTCCATGTTGGTTTCTGTTATACGACCTTCAGTATAGGAATCTGAAGCTTATTGTTTTTACCCAACATGAGCCAAAACTTTTCAGGCATTTAGGTTTCTAAAAGTTCTTTTATAAACAGACCACATTCCCAAGAAAAACAAAAAATGATAAGATCAGGCTGACTAAATCATCCTTGACCCCTAAGCCTGTTACACCAACCCTAAGCCAGCACTTCACAGCCCTGGAGTGGAAAGGCTCAGGAATTCTCCTTTGTCTTAGAACCTGCCCAGCCCAAGACATTGTCTGCACACCCAAGAAACTGATGTAAAGCTGATAAGTTCTGTAATTCACAGCTTCTGGCAGAGGGCTGAATAGTTACCCAGAGCACTGAAAATACCCAGAAGGAAAAGATAAACAAGAGATCAGGTCATCAGGGCTTTTGTTCATAGGTTGCCTTTATGGAAAGTAGAAAGAAGTACTTAAACACACACACACACACACATCCATCCATGCCAGGATCCTCACGCAGGGCAATGGCTTAGTAGGACACAGTATACTTATGTAAATTATAAAAAGTGCCCCTTCTTGGGGCTGGCCCCGTGGCCGAGTGGTTAAGTTCACATGCTCCGCTGCAGGCGGCCCAGTGTTTCCTTGGTTTGAATCCTGGGTGCGGACACGGCACTGCTCATCAGACCAGGTTGAGGCAGCGTCCCACATGCCACAACTAGAAGGACCCACAGTGAAGAATGTACAACTATATACTCGGGGACTTTGGGGAGAAAAAGGAAAAAAAAATAATAAAATCTTTAAAAAAAAAAAAAGTGCCCCTTCTTTCAGAGTACATGGTGTGGTATGTATTTAAGCTCCAAATCACCACTTTAGCCAAGCAAATTTGTGCAGTTACCAACCTGCGCAATGACAGAGGGTAGTCCTGAGCAATGTCATACTTCTTCACATAAAAAACTCACACACATAGAGCTATGCAAAAAAGAAAGCAAGAAGGATTCGCTGTAAAGATACAAAGAATACATATGAAACACAATATTACAGAGACTCCATCTTTAAGAGGCCAAAAACCAATTATGGGAGTAGAGGTGGGGACCAAATGGTAGGTATACTTACAAAACATATAAAATTGCTTCCTCAGTAAAATAACTATACGAAATTTATATTTTCAAGAACATAGAGATGTCAGGTCTGGCAATTAATTTGACCCTACTTGTAAGCTAACCTTACTAACAGTTACTGGTTACTGTTTCATGCACGCTGGCAAAAGACACGAGACT